TTTAAGTTACAGCAGTTGTATGTTACAATAAAATGAAAATAATGATGAGGGATGGAGTTCTGATTGCCCAGAAGGAAACCCATACTAGTTGTCAGTCAGTCTGCCTTGCCCTATTTAGGAGCCACCGAGTTTTCCCCACTATTAATAATCAAGATAATTAAGTTAGAATGTGGCCCTTATGTTCTGCTTATGAGACTTGAGTTCTCAATTTGAGGTAAAATGTTTTGGCTGCTATAAAAATGTCATTTTAGGGCAGCCCGGGTGGCTCAGTGGTTTAGTGCCGCCTTCGGCCCAGAGTGTGATCCTGGGGTCTGTCCCAGGATGGAGTCCCACATCAGGCTGCCGGGATGGAGCCTGTTTCTCCCTCTGCCTGTGTCTCTGCCTCTGTGTGTGTGTGTGTCTGTCATGAATAAATAAATAAAATCTTTAAAAATTAAAAAAAAATTTAATGTCATTTTAAAATACTTTTCACAGAGAGAAAAAGTGGGAAAAATTAGGGTGACAGAACATGAGAGACACCTAACTCTGGGAAACGAACAAGGGGTAGTGGAAAGGGAGGTGGGCAGGGGGTTGGGGTAACTGGGTGATGGGCACTGAGGGGGGCACTTGGCGGGATAAGCACTGGGTGTTATACTATATGTTGTCAAATTGAACTCCAATAAAAATATATATTAAAAAATACATTTTAACTTACAAGAACAAAAGAAAATTTTTTACCTTTTTTCATTTAATTGGAATAATTTTCAAGTTTCTACAAATAGAGCAATTGTAAATTTAAAGCATTAAGCATTTATTGGTGAATAATGTATATATTCCTGTTCCAAGAAATGTAAGTGAATGAAGTTGAAATAAAGTCTTTAAAGTTTACTATAAAAAAAGAAATTCCAGCATATAAAGGACAAGCAAAGAAAGGGAGCTTGAGAAAAAACCTGAGAAGGAATGACTGGAAAAGCAGGAAAGTAACCAGGAAAGCACAATGACATGCAAACCAAGGGAGTGAGAGTCAGAAGGACAGCAGCCAACAAGTGTCTGTTCTCACAGTTACTAGGTCAGCTAGTTAGTCACGAGCAACAGCACCTGGAAGCCGCAGGAGCAGCAGCCAGAAAGCAGCAGCCAGGGGCGAGTACAAGTCCAGGGAGGACGGTATGATTATAGAGCACTCTGGGGATGAGGGAAGATGGCAGACATCTAGAGAGGGGAGTTTAGAGTAATAAAAATCCCAAATCATTTCCTATAAAAGTAATGTGCATGTTTGAGGACAGGCTTTCCTAACTCACGGTTTCTCTTTCTGCATATCAATTGTTATCCTTGGTGTTATCAGATATTTTCAATTTAAAAAGGTCACTAGTGCTAGGGATGAAGGATAGACTATTTTTTGTTCAACCCTGTACAATTCCTTAAAGTCTTAGAAGAGATGAAATGTCAGAACAACTTCGAATCCCTTGTAGCACACAAACATAGAGTTAGCATCATACCAAATCTGTGCTAGGACCACTAAATAACATACATCATTTTTGTTTTATGAGAGATGATCTCCATTCTAAATTAGAGTACCTAGTTTTCATTCATTATTGTAATGCACTATTTTGACTATGACTATCTACACCTATCTGTACATATATATACACACACACATATGTGTTACCTATTTGGAAAACAGTGAATGTATACAATTTACAGAGGGAACACTATGGCTTACTTATTAAAAAGTTGAATTTCTTTCCACAAATAACTAACAGTATTAAATAATGTGTGTGAAAATGCCTCATAAATTATACAATTATAATGCTATACAAATATGAAATATTAGAATATTAAGGATCTGGTGTTAGGTTAATAGAAATACATATACTATTTATTGAAAATATGATTAAGCTACAAATATTGATAACTTATTGTCACATTAAAAAATCCAGTATAAAAAAAAATCCAGTATATGTGGAATATAAACCTAAAATGTGTTAAGGAATAAAGTAATGCCAGGAAACAGGAAGAATTCAAAGTACTTGATTCTATCAGTACTCATAAACAATTGTTCTAATATGGAAAATATTACTGGCAGATAAAAATAATTTAAGATGTTGGTAATGTGATCATCTAAAGGCAAAAAAATATTATGAAAAACTAGAGGGCATTCAATGCTAAAGCTTCAAGAACAATCGGAGAATATATCCATATGAAAATGGAAGTTGCCTCAGGAAATAATGAGATATAAGAATATTATAAGGGACTAACATTAAAAATACAAGTAATCAGCCTTCCGGTGCAACTGAATCCTTATCACAAAGATAACATATGTCACCCTTCCAAAAGATGTAAGGTAAAAGAAATTATATTTCCCTCCATATTAAATTTTTATACTTTAAAATGATGTTATCAGATATCTATCTCCAATATCCATGTATTTGTGGTGACATAGTGAATTGTGAACCACATGCAACCCTGAGAAATCTGGCCAGAGCTAAGTAGTGGTCTATTTGACCTCTATTTTCCCTTTGTACCAGTCATTTGAACCACATTTTCTAGCTCATGTTCATTATCTGCATGACTATCAGACTTCTAAAAGGTGAAAATATTCTTAAAAGGAATGAGAAAAGGGGAATGTGAATAAGCTACATACGTTTCTCAACACTGATCAGAAGAACATCATGCGTGGACCCTCAGGACAAAAATATAATATGAATCAAAAGCCTAGAGGCAACCTAATAAATGTTGCAACAAAAAGAGCATCTTAATGAGGCTGTCTACCTGCCTGTCCAAATGCTTTTCCACCTGTGCAGATCCATCCCTGCCAGTCCAGCTGTCTCCACACCTTATCCCCACTTAGCTGATCAGCTGTCTCCTCCAGGGGGCCCCCTGCCGTTCCACCAGACCCGAGCCCTGCCTGTCTGTCCAGCTGTCCCCTCTGCTCTTCCAAAGACCTCTTTACCAGCCCCGTTCCTGTCCTGCCCAGTCAAACATCTCCCTCCGCCCCCAGCCCCAGTGACTCCTAGCTTTTCCAGCACTTTCCACCATCTAGCAGCCCCACTTCTTTCTGGCACACCTGACCATCCACCCCACCCAGCCCAAAGTTCCACAGTCATCCCTCATACTAATGCACAAAGCAAGTTCTTTTACAAACCTTTCAGACCCCAGCATTTCCCTCCACAGCGTTGGACTCCAGCACCTCTCATGCCTGCCCTGGTCCACCGTTCCCTTCCAGCTCGACTGGTTGTTTCCACGGCCCCTTGGGAAGCTCTCCCTGTCTTGAAGCCTCCCTGTCTCTCCAGTCAGCCCCCTCACCAACCAGTCCCCACTCCTCACATCAGTCCGCTGCCTGAACGTCTTGCTCCCCTAGGCCCTTTACGGTCAGTCCAGTGGTCCGTTCCCCAAGCCACCACATGGTCTGATCTGCCCCAGGCCTTTGTAGACCATCCTCCTGCCTTTGTTCCCACTCGCCCTCCTCCCTGTTACTTCCCATGCTCTTCATCTTCCTCGGCCTCTCCTGCCACATCTCCTTCATCTCCTGTGCAGTACTCTTCCTCTTCACCTGCTCTTTCCTCATCTGTACCCTCCTCCCCTAACTCTCCACCCGGGCCTCCTTCCCTCAGCCCTCTCCTTCCCTGTCCTCTGCGTTCCACCCCCTGTGCAGTCTGTCCTGCTTTGTCCTCCTTTCCCCTGGTGCGTTCCTCCCCCTGTCTTCCTACTCGCCCAGCTCCCTTTACTCCTGCTCATGCCCTCAATCCTCCTCACTGGGGGAAGAAAGTAGAGAAGAGAAGAGAACCAAGTGGACTAGAGAAGAAAGAAATAGAGAAGAAAAAATTGAGAGACGTCAACTTTAAAGGTAAATACATTGAGTTTATTAGATATTTTGTAGGTTTAGCAATATTTTGTTTGGGAAGGGTGACTGAAGGGGAAGGAATGTGTGAGAGTAGGAAAGCCTAAAAGGACGGGAGAAAAACACTCTCAGCACTCAGGAACTTGTGTTAAATACCTTCTGGCTGTCCATGTCCTCCCTGTGGTCACAAAAGGATAGGCTGGAATCTAGTAATCATTGACCTTGAGTAATCCAGTTTGTCTAGATAAAGATATATATGTGTATTGGAGATAGGTATATGTTATATGTGGCCATGTATCCTCCAAACATTTTTATCCGCATTAAATTAGGAATCATTGAAATGAATTGGGACTAAATGCCCTTGGGATTCACACAACTGGCTGTAGTGCAGCTACAGTCAGCTGTTGGATATACTTCCTTGCCCTCCCCCAAAACAGTGCTCCTTTGTTCTTTGTTTTTCACTCTGTACATCTGCTAAAATAAAACTTGCTAAGTTTCCAGAAGATGCAGAATTCTAATAGAAAATGATGTCACCCGCTGATATCTGTGGGTGGCACTTTACATACTAAAAGCAGACTCTGCACTACAGATACCCCTTCTGTGGCATGAAAAACATGCTTGTATTTGTGATACAACTGAAAACAAGTGTGTATATTCTCCTCCAGTGAGTAAGATCCAGGCTTCTAAATCTAGTAAAGTAGGATGGGAATTCCTGCCTGCCCCAACAGGCAATTTTCATATTTTCTCTCTGCTTGAATCTCCAACCAACTGTAATTGGGCTATAGGAATACCTACCAGCTATAACATCAACTCAGAACAAAGGGGAATGCAGCACATTTTATACAGATAGGAATGCTCTTATAGAACTAAGGACTGATTCTACATGTCTACAGGAACTCCTTCTATATCCGTCCCAAACAACAGAGAAATGGGATTTTATAATCAAAGCCATGAAAAATTGGGTATTCCTACATGAAGGTGGAGTGCTTTACTGGCACTAAAATCCCGCAACCATTTGGATTCTACTATTGACTGCCTTAAATTCCCATTCCAGTATCTTTAAATGTGATTATCTCAACACACACACACACACACACACACACACACCATAAATGTATCATTTATATAAATAGAGGTTAACTTTATTTAAATGTACTAAATATTTTTTATGTATGATTCACAGAGCTATAGATAATGCCTTGCCTTCATCATTGTCAAAAAATGGTCACAAGCATCAGAAACATCTCTTATCCAAAATCAATTGTGATAAAGAAATGAAGGAAAACAACAGGGCAAACTTGGCTACTAACAAAGATGCGTTCCAGCTTAAACTGGAAGAAACTCAGAAACTCCTAGAAGATCAGCATCTAAGCAGTTTGCAAGTATGAAACTATAAATATGTTAATATTTTAGTATCTGGTAATAATTCTGTCCCATCTCTGCAGTGTTCTACACCAAAGAAAAGTATGCCATTAACCAAGGATAGGATGTGAATGAGTTAACAAAATTCATCACAGATATTACAGAAATAATTGTTTAGATTTTTCTGCCTTTTGCTCATTTTTCACTTTGCTTTCTCTATTCTTTTTCCGTCTCTCATATTTGGAAAAATATGCTCTACGGATGTTATTTTCTGATCAAATATGAAAGCTATGTAAAAGTACAATGTAATATAAGTATCATTGTTAGAGACTGGATTACAAAGAGCATCCTGAAAATTATAATACATATGGACATTAGTTTCTTAATGAAAATATGTCACAATTAGCTAGAAATGGCATTTCTGTTCTATCTCTGGTCATGCATTCACTTGGTTCCCCCCACACAAATGAGTATGGATTTCAGCTGATTTTCCTGATATATTCATGCACTTTGTTTTTCACAAGTAATTACACACATTTATGATATTTTTAGTAGGCTATTATCAAGATTAAATTGATAATCTTGGCCTGATTTATCCAATAACTAAGTAATAATGACAAGGCTTTAAAAAAAGGAAAGCAGGAGGCTTCTTCTGGCTGTAATGAAATACCTACCTGCAATAAACAACCATAATTCTGAATAAAATATATGAAACAACTGTTTTTGGACATTAGACAACAGGCAAATATCAGATATGATCTTTAAAAAAGGAAAACAAATGAGATAAGCCCTATAATCACATAGGTTTTCACCTGAACATATTCTTTGGACAAGCCTCAAAATACACAGATAACCAACTGCTTGTCAAAAAAACCTTAACACTCTCTTATAGACTAAAATCTAGACAGATAACATAATGTTTATAAGGTCCAATAGTCAACCAAAAGTTACTAGACATGTTGAAAAACAGGAAAATAGGACCCATAACCAGGAGAAAAATTAGTCAATATAATCATACACACAAGGGCAGAGATGAAAGGATTAACAGGCCAGGAATTTACAACTATTTTTAGAAATATTTTCAAGGAATTAAAGTTAAAAATGAATCTATTGAAAAAGGTATTTTTAAAAGAACCAAGTAGACCTAGATCTGGAAAATATGCAAAATGAAAATTTCACTGGATGGACTTAATGATCCAGGCATTATGAAAGAAAGAAAGAAAGAAAGAAAGAAAGAAAGAAAGAAAGAAAGAAAAGAAAGAGAGGAAGGAAGGAAGGAAGGAAGGAAGGAAGGAAGGAAGGAAGGAAGGAAGGAAGATAAAGAAAAGAAACAAACTACTGGACTTGAGACATGGCAGTAGAAATCATCCAGAGTGAAACATTGTGAGAAAAAAGACTGGAAAAAAATGAACAGAATGCTAGAAACCTGTGAGACAATATCAAGCAGTCTAACATACATTTAATTAAAATCCCAGGGTAGTTAAAGAAATAATGCCTGAAAATGTTTCAAAGTTGGTGAAACTAAAAGTGCATAGATCCAACAAGCTCCAAGAAGAATAAATATGCACACATGTATGTGTGTACCCACCCTGCCAAGGCTGCATATGTGCCAGATGTGTATGGGGACAGATGGAGCCACACTTGTGGTGGGCACAGCATACTGTGTCGTACACCTGAAACTAACGTGACATTGTGTGCCAAATACATCCAAATTTTAAAAATTATTTTGAGAAAATAATCTAGGGGGGAAAAGAGATCAATGTGGGTGAACAAAGATAAGACAGACCACATGAACTTCAGGCCAGAAGACAGTGAAGCATTTTAAATTCTTTTTTAAAGAAAACTTCCAACTTAGAATTCTGTATCCAGCTAGCAATATCGTTCTGGAATAAAGGCAAAATAGTCATCTTCAAACAAACGAGCTGAACACCACTGTACTCCATCATCATCTATACTATAAGAAATGCACCTAGAAGTTTTTCATTTTTCTAGAAGGAAAATATTAGCAGATGAAAACTCAGATCTGTAGTGATAGCAGATTAGTGGTAGTTAGTGGTGGGTAGATGTGGACTTCCAGCAGATGGAAAGTTTCTCTGGATTGTTTGATATGGTGGATAAGGCTGAAAAATTTGTCAAAATCCATTATGCATTTAAAATGGGTTCATTTGATAGATAAGTTTACCTCAATCACATTGATTTTAAAACTGAAATGCTAAAAGTATAAACTAGTACAGTTTGTATAGCCATAACTTATAAGCAAAAGTTGAAGCTGAATATAATGTTTCATTTCTTACTGATGAGAAGAAATCTGAGGGAAAAAATATAGTTTAGTGAAATCAGAAGTTGCTAAACTACTTTTCAGGTGCTTAGGGGTATAAGGCCATCACAGACCTGTGACAACAGAAATCTTAGAGCCATGGATATCACACATACATTTAGAAAGACCCTCAAACCCAGATTTCTACATTTCATTAGATGTAATCTCAAAGGAAGCCTTTGAGGGCTTCCTTATGATTTTCTATTATAGCAGCTCAGCTGTAGAAACAGGCATTGACAGTGTGCTCTGTTTTGTTCTCCTGATTAGACTGAGTAACCATCACTTAAAAAAAAAAAAAAAAGAAAAGACACAAGAGTACTGATGTGATAAGTAGGTGGTAAATGCTAGGAATATCAAACTCTTGTGAATCATTTTCAAAACTTATTTTGTGGTAATATATCAATAAGCATTAACTATACAAACTAAAATATTTTTATTCTGTAATTGATTTCCTAGATTTCTTCATTTATTTAATGAGCTAGAAAAATCATACATTTTTGTTTAGTATCAGAATATTTAAATTTTCTAAAATTTGTGAAAAATCTTAAGGGACAGTAATTTCCTACTTTTTGAGTCCATTTCACTTTTGACAAGACTTACAATCTAAAATCCTCTTGAGGGAATCCCTGGGTGGCTCAGTGGTTTGGTGCCTGCCTTTAGCCCCGGGGCACGATCCTGGAGTCCCAGAATCGAATCCCACGTTGGGCTCCTGGCATGGAGCCTGCTTCTCCCTCTGCCTGTCTCTCTCTCTCTCTCTCTGTCTATCATGAATAAATAAATAAAATATTTTAAATAAATAAAATCTTCTTGAATATATTTATATGTGCTACACATCAATGCATTCTAGGTATATGTGAGAAATTAGAAATATTTTTAAACATATACCACACTTTGAAATGATCATGAAATTTTATTAAAGACTTATAAGTTCCATGAAATTTCATTGAAATAGTGATGAGAATGTCTATGAAATTCATAGAAATTATTGTTGTTCTAAATCTAAAAAGAGGACTCATTAAAATCAATAATTGTCAATTCTACATCCACATTAGAATTTCCTGGGGAACTTTAAAATAAAAGTCAATACGTGGACCCCATCCAAATATTAAATCATCAGGACCCAGGTATAGTTATTTCTACAAAACTCTTCCTGTGAACCCCACCGTGTAGGCCACAAGATCACCTGCTCTCTGAAGATGCAGCCCTACCAACAGGACACTCACATTAGGGGCACAGAGCTTTCAGGAGCCTCATTCAAGTCCAGTGAAACTTTCAGAGGAAAAATACCCTTTGTAAAAAACTATTTTTCAGAATTTCATGTACTGTTATAAAACCTTCAGGAAACTCAATAGGCCAAATGGAATATCAATAGCAAAATTATTTTCTAAGCTATCCCCGTGGCTAGAATAATTAGGTAGTTGCTTTAGGTGTAGAAATTAAAGCAAACACACTTTAGTATAAGTCTTTGTTGGCTCCCTCTTTTTCACTCTAAGGACAACTCCAAGGATAAAGATTAGTTAAATATTTATGCTATTTATAGCCGTATTACTCTATTTTCTATGCCAAGGACAATAGGGCGCAGTAGTGTGTTGAATCATTAATTTTGGTGTTTAAAAAGTTCCAAGCTATATAACAATGTTCTTTTTTTTTTTCTTTCAGAAATTTTGTGATGAAGTTAATCAAATAACAAATTCTGAAACTCTCTCAAGTATAGATAGTCTTGAGGCTGGGGAACGTGAAGAAATATATTTAACACTTAACAAGGAGCCTTCCACATCAAACCAGAACAATTCTATTTCTCCCAAATCAGTAAATCTGCAATCAACTAATCTAAGCTGCTTTGATGAAGATAAACTGTCATTCTCTAAAACTCAGCATATAAATAATTGGCTCATAAATGTAAATGATCCAAATACTCAGACTGTGACACATCTCTCAGATATTTTAAGTAAACCTAATGTTCTACCTTCTTGTGAATGTTTTAATGGTAAAGAGCAAAATCCACCTGTGGAAAGAGTCACAAGTAGTGCTAATAATTCAGTAGACTTCATGAGTAGTCCACCTGTAGTTGTACAAGATGGAAAAAGCAAAGAGGTCTCTGAAAGTAGCCTAATGAGAACTGACTCCTCTTCTGGAACATTCAAAAGGGAGAGACCATTTGTTACTGAGAGCCCAGCATTTAAATTCAGCAGAGTCTGGACCACTCCAGATTCTCCAACACGGGAAATAGCTACGTTTTCAGACCAAGGGAACAATTCTGAATCAAGACAAGAAAGCAGAACTACTTCATTTGTACCTATGGCAACACGTATGGTTCTGCCATATAATACACAGTCAGCTAGGCCCTTACAAAAGAGCAATCTACATATAAAAGAAATGGACCCAGTGCAGTGTTCTGATAAATTAAGAGAATTGACAGATATTAAAGATGAGAACTTAAAATATTTTAATTGTAGTAAGGAAGAGTTGCCTTTGTTTTCAGATGATTTTCAAGCTGCCTATATACCTCACAACTCTGGTTCAAATGATAAAAAACACAAAATAGCCCAAACATCAACATTAGTGTCTAATGTAATTTCTAACTGTGACTTAGTCAGTCAGTACAAGAAAATGAAATACAACATTCATGAGAAAAATGGTGTGAGGTTTCTTAAAAGTATTTTAAAAAAAGAATCTAAATATGAACATAATTGTTTGAAGGCACTAGTCATAAACCAAAGCTTTAAGTTAGGAAATCACAAAGCAGCAGCTATCAGAGACAGTATTGAATTAACAAAAGAAAAAGGTACAGAAATTCCAAAGACTATTAAAAAACTGAGGTGGTTTGATGAAACTGGAGATATAGAAAAAAATGCTGCAGATAGTACTTTGCTGAAGAACAGAATAGAACTGTCCCAACAGTGGTCTCAGCCTTTCCACAGTCAGACTAAAAGTGGAGCTGCCAGCCACATAATTAGAATTCCTGCCTGTGCTGTAAATTGTGCTGATGGGAAGAAGCCCAAGGAGGATTATTCTGCTTCTGAAAGTGTCGCTGCCTTAGGAGAACCTGGAACAGACCATGTACCTCAGAACTGTGTTATGCCTTCGGGTTATAACACGGCTAAACAAGCCTGGCCACCCTCAACACAAGAAGAGCGTCAACCCCCTTTACATAGGGGTATTTCTAAAGCTCCGAAAGCCAACCCACAGAGGGGTGGTGCCAAAGTCCTTAGAAGAGCGAGGTCTGCTCAAGTGCAGTCTGCCTTCGTGTGTGCAGACAGAAGAGACACTGGCCTTCGGCCCCAGTCCACAAGCAGAACAAGCACACACCTGCAAGCTCAGGGGAGACTGATTGTGCCTCATCCTCCACCCAAGTCTCCGTCAGATAGTAGGAGCAGTAAAAATACACAAGTGTCTCCAAGTCTTCAAGTAACACTTGAAGACTCTCAGAACATGATGACACATAACTATTTTCATTCAAAACATGTGCTTCCAACAGAACACAGGTTCCATCAGTGGAATGCAGACAGCAGCTTTCCACCTGCAGGTGTGTGTTCTGACTCTGTGCCTGCGATGCCTTCTCCACCGTATTGTTCTTCTGAGAGCAGAACTGTAGCACAAATGGATGGTCCCAATGGCACTCCTGTGCTGGCCCCACACGATGGGATGTTACTCGGCGCCCATAGGTGCCCTGTTTACCAAGAAGGCTATCCCACAGGGACACTTAGGACTGCTCCAGAAGAATCGGTCCCCTTGTGGAAAAGATGGAACAATATTCTGGGTCAAAACAAAAAGGCTGCTGGTAAGAATAAATTTACGTACTTGTATAGATAAACTGTACTATGTTTTAATTCCTGTGAAATTTTTCTTCTTCAAATAGAGCAGCACGCACCCTGTAGATACAATATTAAATAATGACTTAGCCGCACAAAACCTTCTCTCCCCTAACATTCCATCCTTGTCTAGGTAGCTGCAGCTTCCAAGACAACCACCCAACCTTCGCTCAACTAAATTAGAAACTGCCAGCCTCCATTTTTTTCTGACTTTTCTTGTTACTGTAAGAGAGAGAGGACAAAGAATAGTCTGATTCCTAACCCATATCATTCTGTCATGACATTATCCCAATATTCTAGCCAAAATTTCTGTCAAAATAAGCACAATGAAAAATATTTTTAAATTATTCTAGATATATAAATAAACGTAGTTATAATGCTTTCTTTTTTCTCTAAAATGTTTATTAAATTGAATAGTTATAAGCTAATGATAGGTGTGCCTAAACCTCCCATTCCCTTTCCAAAAGAGTGGCAGCCCTACTTTTATAAAACCCACATGTATGTTGGTTTTCATATGGAGAAAAAATGATGGCATTCCATTAAGCATGTTGAAAATTAGCTCCCTATAGTATGCCATTATCCTTAGTGGTAACTCCTCATGGAGCGCTCTTCCTCTGAGGGAATGGACTAGAAGCCCATAAATGTTCCTGCCAGTAGGAATCAATTGCGTATTGAGAAATAGATACGACTTGGAAAAAAAATCAGTAAAGTGATTCTTTTCTTTCACCAAGGATATGCGTGAATACTATGATGTAAAGAGGAAACTCGTTTAAAATTTAATATTCAAAGTCTTCTTTAGGGCAGCCCTGGTGGCTCAGTGGTTTAGTGCCACCTTCAGCCCAGGGCCTGATTCTGGGGACCTGGGATTGAGTCCCACGTCAGGCTCCTTGCATGGAGCCTGCTTCTCCCTCTGCCTGTGTCTCTGCCTCTGTCTCTCTCATGAATAAATAAATAAATAATCTTTGAAAAAAAAGTCTTCTTTAATTAGACTGAGATTTTAAGGACAAGGGGCTTTTGTTGTAATTTATTATTGTCTCCCCAGGTCCTGGCACTTAACAACTCACCCACACTTTTCTCAGATTGAATGGATCTAAGTCATATTAGCAGATGGAAAGCTAAATGCAAAGACTCTAATCTAAAAACTTTCAGTACTTATCTACAAAAATCTAGATGGTTTTTCTTTTCATTGTTTCTTCTTTATTTTTTTTAAAGATTTTATTTATTTATTCATGAGAGACACACACAGAGAGAGAGAAAGGCAGAGAAACAGGCAGAGAGAGAAACAGGCTCCATGCAGGAAGCCCGATGAGGGACTCGATCCTGGGTCTCCAGGATCACACCCTGGGCTGGAGGCGGCACTAAACCACTGAGCCACCCGAGCTGCCCTCATTGTTTTCTCATCACAAGTTCCCTCCTTCATCCCCATCCCATGCTTCCCCCTGTCCGCCATCTACCTCCCCTCTGATGACCCTCAGTGTATTTATTCTCCGTAGTTAAGAGTCTGCAAAAACCGGGATCCCTGGGTGGCGCAGCGGTTTGGCGCCTGCCTTTGGCCCAGGGCGCGATCCTGGGGACCCGGGATCGAATCCCACGTCGGGCTTCCGGTGCATGGAGCCTGCTTCTCCCTCTGCCTGTGTCTCTGCCTCTCTCTCTCTCTGTGACTATCATAAATTAAAAAAAAAAAAAAGTCTGCAAAAACCTAGATTTTAAAAAATTATTTTTCTCAATAAATTTTTCATTCTCTTTTAATCTATGCGTTTTACAATGTAACTATAATTTTCACACCAAAAATGAAAGCATCATATAGATTGAGTAAATTTCCATTGTATGTATATATATGTAAAATCACACGTAAATATATATATATACACATACACCACATCCCACCAGTTCGTTCTCTATAGTTGAAGAGTCTGTTTTTTGGTTTGTCACTTTTTTCTTCATTTGTTATATTTCTGAAATTCCACATATTTGTGGGATCATATGGCATTTGTCTTTCTGTGACTGACTTATTTTGTTTAGCCTTAAACTCTAGATCCACCCCTATGGTTGCAAATGGCAAGATTTCATTGTTTTCATGGCTGAGTAATATTCCATTGTATACATGTGTGTGCATATGTATATCACATCTTCTTTATCCCTTCATCTACCAGTGGACCCTTGCTTGGGTGGCTTCCATAATTTATTGGATCATATGATAGCTCTATTTTAACTTCTTGAGGAACCTCCACACTGTTTCCGGAGTGGCTGCACCAGTTTGCATTCCCACCAGCAGTGTTAAAGAGAGTTCCTCTTTCTCTGCATCCTCACCAGCATTTGTTGTTTCCTGTCTTGTTAATTTTCACCATTCTCACTGGTGTGAGATGGTATCTCATTGTGGTTTTGATTTGTATTTCCCTGATGGCAAGTGATGTAGAGCATTTTCTCATGTGCTTGTTGGCCATGTGTATGTCTTCTTTCGAGAAATTTCTGTTCATGTCTTCTGCCCATTTCATGATTGGGTTATTTATTTCTTGAATGTTGAGCTTGATAAGTTCTTTATAAATCTTGGATATTAGCCCTTTATCTGATATATCATTTGCTTTCATTCTCTGAACATCTCCAGAATTTGTCCTTATGTTTATAATTAAGAATACGATAGGGGGTCCCTGGGTGGCGCAGCGGTTTGGCACCTGCCTTTGGCCCAGGGCACGATCCTGGAGACCCAGGATCGAATCCCACATCGGGCTCCCGGTGCATGGAGCTTGCTTCTCCCTCTGCCTATGTCTCTGCCTCTCTCTCTCTCTCTCTCTCTCTGTGACTATCATAAAAAAAAAACATACATTTTAAAGACATACTACTTAATGATTAGTAGCTTTATTTTGAATTTTGGTAAAAAAAAAACTATTTGGATAAAATTTTCATATAAGAAATTTGGCCAGGGGATCCCTGGGTGGCACAGCAGTTTAGCGCCTGCCTTTGGCCCAGGGCGTGATCCTGGAGACCCGGGATCAAATCCCATGTCGGGCTCCCGGTGCATGGAGCCTGCTTCTCCCTCTGCCTGTGTCTCTGCCTCTCTCTCTCTCTCTCTCTCTCTCTCTCTCTCTCTGTGTGTGACTATCATAAATAATAAATAAAAATTAAAAAATATATAAAAAATAAAACAATAAATAAATAATAAATAAATAAATAAAAGAAATTTGGCCAAAGATGCCAGTGCAAATATATATATATATATATGTGTATGTATATATATACATATATATAGCAATTATATCAAGGTTCTCAGCTATTATTAATTATTAGATAGTATTTAGCTGCATGTATGTGAATGCAACAATATGCAAACAGTTTTAAGCATATAAACTGTATCTGTTCCTGGGATTATTAATTTATAATCCACAAAACTGAACATCTACACAAAGAATAAAGCACAAAAACAAATAATTATGCTACAAATCAAGAAAGTACAAAAGTGTTGGCAGATTTTGACTCCAGATTTACAAACAGGCTGAAGGAAGGGAAAAATTCTTGACACAGCAGTCATGTGGCCAAGGAAATTTTTACTTAAAGTATTTTTAAAGCCCTTCAAAAAAATGGAAAGATAGGAACTTTCCAAGATCTTCTAAGCATAGAAAACATAAAGAAACTCTATTGATGCCCAGATGATCTTGCTAGAGACTATAACATCTAACATACAATATATAGCCTAGCATATTTAGCCCTTAGCTTACCCATATGGGTGGGAATAAAAATAACACAGAACTTTTTAAACTACAGGTTGTATCTCATTAGTAGATTATAAAATTGGTTTCATGAGTGGTGATCAGAATTTTTTTAGTAAAATATAGTTTTAGAATTAGAATGTTCTAAGATAGAAACTACCAGAGCTCATCATATATCATAAAGGTAAATATGTTTCACAGAACTGTATACACATCCTGGACCACATTGCAAAATATATTTCTTTCTGTGAGACACAGTCAAATCAGAATGGAAGTTACTAGTATAGAGGGTAAGAGCCAGATTTTCAGATTTTACAGATTAACTACTTAGAGGTAAATTCCAGCTTTGTCCTTTACTGACTCTGTGACCTTAGGCAAGTTACTTCTCCTTTCTGGTGCCTAATTTCCTTATCTGTAAAAACAGTGATGATAATAGTGCCTGCTACAACTCTTAGAACAATGCCTGGACAATTATAAATGCTAAACTAATATTAACTAGAATTATCTTATTTCTTACTCTCAAAGGTCAGGTGTTCAGTTATTAACCAACTTTCTTGAAAGTTGGAAGCTTTGAGGTCTTTGTTGTTATTTAGATATATAAATAGATAGTTATATACAGCTATAGTTTATATGTATACTTACAATATATGCATTATACATATATGTATAGTTAGATATAGAACAGTAAAAATTTTGAGCACACACATATAGATATGGCATACATATGTATTACTATACAAAATATGTAACCTTAACCAGAAATAGAAACATTTAAAGAATGAAATAAAAATAAAGTACAAACCTTTTAAAATAACTTAAAATTTTTGTATTTTATAAATAATACATTTTAAAATCTTTAAAATAATTTTATGTATTATACAAAATACTTTTTCTCTCATGTATTATTAATAATGCTTTGCTTAAAAATTTTTAAAAAAATAATGCTTTGCTTAGTTTCAGGTCAATTACTTCATTTCATATACCATTCATATACCATTATTAGCTAATATCTCAAGGTACAATATGCATTTAGGATGAGGTTTATTTTTATAATTTGATAATTTTTCAATTTGTGTCTCTAACTTTGTTATAAATATGATACTGTCATTGTCATTTTGTGGCAAAGAGTTTATAAGGAGAATAAAAGATAAGTCACCTGCCTTTTTCTTATTTACCTGTATTTGTGTTATTAGTTTTATCATTAATCTGTAGTTTTGCAAGAATATGGGGAGTTCTTGCAGAAAAATACTTGTTTTATTATAAGATAATTGACATATTACATTATGTAAGTTTAAGGTGTATTCTGTGTGATTTGATACATTTATGTATTGCAATATGGTTACTACCATAGCTAGCCAACACCTCCATTGATCACATAATTGTCATTTATCTGTTGTGGTGAGAACATTTAGGATCTAGTCTCTTAGCAACTTTGAAGTATATGATGCAGTATTGTTGAGTATAATCATGATGCAGAGCACAGAACTCCAGAACATACTCATCTTCTACTACAAGTTTGAACTGTGACCAACATCTCAATTCCTGCACCCTGGAACCACTCACTCTTCAACAGTTTCCACTAGTTCAGCCTTTTAAATTTTTGTTAAGTAGGCACCATGCTCAACATAGGGCTTTAACTCCCAACCCTGAGATTAAGAGCTCCATACTTTACCAACTGAGCCAGTCAGGGGCCCCTAGTATAGCTTTTTTAGATTCCACACGTAAGTGATATCATACGGTGTTTGTCTTTGTGTGACTTATTTCACTCAACATAATACCCTCAAGTCCCATCCATGTTGTCACAAATGGCGGAACCACCTTTCTTGTGGCAGAATAATATTCTACGGTTTATAGAAACCATGTCTTCTTTATTCATTCATCCATTGATGGACACTTAGGTTTCTATACCTCGGCTACTATTAATAGTAAACAGCAGAAAAGTACGTACATACCTCATAAACTCTGTATTTGGCAGATGACTGAATAATCAATTTAACTTTCCCAAGGAGATAGCATTGCAAAAAAAAAAAAAAAGGAAATAGCATTGCTGTTAAAACAAGTTAAATCATAAAATATTAGCTGTAGAAGAAACTTCTACATCATCTTGTCTCGGGATCTGCAAACTGCCTACAGTACAGTAGGTGTACAGTAAATTAATTCAACACTTCCATACAACCCTGGGGCTCATCACAGGTGTGCTCCTTCATCCCCATCACCCATCTAGCCATCCCCCCACCCCCACCCTCTGGTGACCATCAGTGTGTTCTCTGCAGTCAAGGGTCTATTTCTTGATTTGCCTCTCTCTCTAAGAATGTTTTTAATTAGTCATATAAAAAGGATAGAAAAACAAAAAAATATCCATACACCCATTATAATTCACCTTAAATAATAAAACATTGCACATACAATGGAAGCACAACAAAAGTGTCTTTTTAGACTTCCATTTTGTGAGAACTCATTCAGATGCTATGAGATGGCCATAAATCTACTTACCAGGCACATATGAAGTTCAGTGACATTACAGGAGGCCAGAGAGCACTCATGAATGATACCATTGCCAGTCTCACATGTAGTTCCTCTAGGAAAACTTGGTTTACTGTATGCAATGTACAGTCACCTACTTTGCAAACCAACAAGGGTGCCAGCGTCAACCATATAGAACATAGTGAAGTTTAATATCTAATTGTTTGACAATAAATACAAATTGGAATTCTAGTATGTTCTTCCTGCAGAGCAGTGATCTGTTCTACCTTTCCTCCTAGTGTTCTAGAGCACATTTGGAGATCACTGGTCTAAACTATAAACTCCTCAGAAGCAGAGATTTTGTTTAGTTCATTATTGTAACTATTTGGTGCATAGTACATATAACAGAAGCGCATGAAGAGTTTTCTGACTGTATGAATGAAATTTAGAGTTTTCTTGTGATGTTTGAAAGTAAATCGTAAGTTTGTACATATAATGTATTAATTTTGACATTTTGTTGGCATTAAGATTCTACTGTGGTAAGAAGAAAACGAATTGCTGAAAATAAGCAGAGAAGCCTTTTAGAACAGAAAAGACAAAACTCTGGATCTGTAGGAAAGAAGTGCAATGAGCAAATGAATGTAAGTGTGATATTAGTAACAATGTGTATTCAGTAGTGAAAAATTGCTTGGAAAACAGAATGTTCTCAAAACACTGTGCTTTTGCTGTAAAGTGTGGACCACAGCATGAATCCCTATGCTAGGAACTTACTGTACTTATTTGCTATATTCTATCTGCCTATATGATCAATTACTAATGAAGATTTTAAACCAACCTTAACAAATTACCATTCTTTCATGTATTATTTATAGTCAGCTCTGGAATACAAACATGTTATTCACAACAAAGTTTTTAAGTATACAGTAAAAAAGAAAAAAAAAGACAAGCAAGTTAGAGCCCTGGATAGAGTGAGTGTATTGATCATTAAGACTAATCTAGTTCATGTTCAAATATCCTCTATGGATCTAAGCTCCCTGGAAGATATGGCAAGAGGATGATGAGGTGCATATTCTTGAGGTCATTGATGTTGGTAGGATGTTGTTTGAAGGGCCGTGTGGGAAGAGAGGTTCCCCTGAGGCCCTTCTGTGGGGTACCTGGAGTTGGGGATCACAGTCCACATGGCTGTTCAAGATAGTGATGGTTAGTAAAAGTCGAAAGCTTAAGAAAAGTAATTTTTAAATTAATGGAGGTCATCCGTAAGAGCTAAATGACCTAACTATGACATTTTCTGGTGGTCTAACCTCATCCAAGTATTGAATTTAAAATATAAAAGATGTAGATTGGATGAGTAAATAGCATTTCACTTGGAATTTCTACTTTAAATAGCACTTTTGAGTTTTGATAGCAGTGGATTGACTGCCTTATGGAGAATTTATATCCAACTTCTGAGTTGAGGATTCTATGATTTATATATTGTAAGAACTATTCATTGTTTTATATAGATAGGATTTTTAATGTGGAGGAAACTCACCCATGAAGCATTTTTAACAGTAAGACAGAAGTCAGTGAGTTCTGTAGGATGTGAATAAGCTGCCCCCAGCATCTAATTAACCAGATATTAGTGCTTCCTCAGCAGTGCAAGTTCTGCCTTCCACCCCCATGTTCAGAGCAGCATCCACAATCCGTCAAGTGAACAAGCATTTCTTTTTATTCGTGTATTTTATTTTTTTAAGATTTATTTATTTATTTATGGTAGACATAGAGAGAGAGGCAGAGACACAGGCAGAGGGACAGGCAGGCTCCATGCCGGGAGCCCAACCCGGGACCCGATCCCAGGACTCCAGGATCGTGCCCCGGGCCAAGGGCAGGCGCCAAACCGCTGAACCACCCCGGGATCCCCTTATTCGTATATTTTAAATGCTAAAGCATTATACAGTTAGAACAACAAACGAAAAGGAACTGTTAAATTGGCAAACTCATGCGTACCGTCCTGGTTCCCACCATGCCCCCCTCCCTGCCCCCACCGTTCACGGCCCCCTGTGCCCTCTCCAGTGTAGCCCACCCCAGGCGCACCTGCTTCAGTGCCCTACACCCTCGTGCTGGCTTTGGAATGGCCGCGGTCACCACGGGAATTTTAACTTTCTCTGCCCTCTTGATTTTAACCGAGGAGCCTCCGCAGGGTCCAGTTCCTATTGGGAGCTTTCCAGCCTACGACAATCCCTGCCCGGCAGTCAGGGCAGGGGACCCCCAGTCTCTGGTGGAGGCCACAGTGACCGAGGCCGGGACAGTGCTAGCCTGGTCCCCCAACAACCTGGAGCAGCGCTACCACACCCGAGCGCCGAGGGAAAGGGTTGCGTGCCCCGGGTTGGGGCGTCCTGGCCTCCTGGGCGTTGGGGCAGCACCAGCTCTTCTGCAAGCCTGGCCTCCTGGGGTCCCTGGCCTCGTGGGGGCCCCACCTGCGGTGACAATGTAAACCCATCAGCTTATAGACCTTACTTACCGTCAGTGTTTGCCAGCCCTTGAACTAGCACTCTAACTTCCTTCTTCCAATATCCAAGGTAACACTGCAACCTGAACATTTTCCAAAATCCACATAAAACATTTTTTTAAATATTCAGTTATCCTAGAAAGGACTTATTCCAGGAATTCTTGATTTCTGCTTCGTTTTTTTTAATAAATTAATTTTGTATTGGTATTCAACTTACCAACATACAGAATAACACCCAGTGCTCATCCCGTCAAGTGTCCCCCTCAGTGCCCGTCACCCACTCACCCCCACCCCCCGCCCTCCTCCCCTTCCACCACCCTTAGTTCGTTTCCCAGAGTTAGGAGCCTCTCATGTTCTGTCTCCCTTTCTGATATTTCCCACACATTTCTTCTCCCTTCCCTTATATTCCCTTTCACTATTATTTATATTCCCCAAATGAATGAGAACATACACTGTTTGTCCTTCTCCGATTGACTTACTTCACTCAGCATAATACCCTCCAGTTCCATCCACGTCGAAGCAAATGGTGGGTATTTGTCGTTTCTAATGGCTGAGTAATATTCCATTGTATACATAGACCACAGCTTCTTTATCCATTCATCTTTCGATGGACACCGAGGCTCCTTCCACAGTTTGGCTATTGTGGACATTGCTGCTAGAAACATCGGGGTGCAGGTGTCCTGGCGTTTCATTGCATCTGAATCTTTGGGGTAAATCCCCAGCAGTGCAATTGCTGGGTCATAGGGCAGGTCTATTTTTAACTCTTTGAGAAACCTCCACACAGTTTTCCAGAGTGGCTGCACCAGTTCACATTCCCACCAACAGTGCAGGAAGGTTCCCTTTTCTCCGCATCCTCTCCAACATTTGTGGTTTCCTGCCTTGTTAATTTTCCCCATTCTCACTGGTGTGAGGTGGTATCTCGTTGTGGTTTTGATGTGTATTTCCCTGATGGCAAGTGATGCGGAGCATTTTCTCATGTGCATGTTGGCCATGTCTATGTCTTCCTCTGTGAGATTTCTCTTCGTGTCTTTTGCCCATTTCCTGATTGGATTGTTTGTTTCTTTGGTGTTGAGTTTAATAAGTTCTTTATAGATCTTGGAAACTAGCCCTTTATCTGATACGTCATTTGCAAATATCTTCTCCCATTCTGTAGGTTGTCTTTTAGTTTTGTTGACTGTATCCTTTGCTGTGCAAAAGCTTCTTATCTTGATGAAGTCCCAATAGTTCATTTTTGCTTTTGTTTCTTTTGCCTTCGTGGATGTATCTTGCAAGAAGTTACTGTGGCCGAGTTCAAAAAGGGTGTTGCCTGTGGATTTCTGCTTTGATACAGGTTTCATGAGCAGTGATAACTGAAACTATGTAGAGTGCATATTTATTTTTACTAAAACTATATGGAGTGCATATTTATTTTTACTAAATATATAATCATGAACTTTTAAATATGGAGATATATTCTGATATACTATTATATTTTTGTAGAATTTTGGACAAAGTGTCCAGCCAAGGTCAAGTGAGCCAAAACAGACTATAAGGGGTACTTCTCATGGTAAAGAAGGTATGTGTCAGTTTAAGGTTTTTCTCTGAGCTTTGTTCCCAGCGATTTCACTGCTCTGTGGGCTTTCCCAAGTCTGTTCACACTAGGTGACCGGTAGACTGTGTGGGATTGGAGCTCCCCTTACCCTGCACATTTACACTGTTGCCAGGTTTTTTATTCTAAATAATGATGTATTGAACATCTTTCTACATGAAGCTTTCCCCGACTTTTCGATCATGTCCATAAGATGGAGATTCCAAGAATTAAAATCACAGTATTTTATATGTCATTGGCACCTAAATAAGGATTTGTTGAATGAAATTCTATGTATTAAGTGATTACTGGATCAGAGGAAATAGGCATTGTTATAGCTCCTTTTACAGATTCTAAAGTATTTTCCTGAGCAATACCATTTAAAACTTTTCTGGGGTGTATGCCAACTTGAGGTAGAATTATTTCTATGATTTGCTTACATGGCAGGCAAAGAAATTCTGTTATATTAGTTTTGAATTATATATCTTTTATAAAAATATGCTTAGTTGTTTATGTATCTTTACTTTTGGTGAATTGGTCCTTCATATTGTTTTTTCCTTTAGATATTGGAGTTTTGGTATTTTCTTACTGATTTCTGCAAATTCTTTAAATATCAAGGGTTCTATTCTTCATATTAATTGCAAATGTTTTTATTTCTTTATTATTTATGTTTTACTCCACTTATATGTTTACATTTAGAAGCCTTCCTTTTTTTTCATTCAACAAACAATCAAGGGATGCCTGGGTGGCTCAGTGGTTGAGCATCTGTCTTCGGCTCAGGGTGTGATCCCCAGTCACAGGATCAAGTCCTGCATCAGGCTCCCCACAGGAACCTACTTCTCTCTCTGCCTATGTCTCTGCCTCTCTCTCTCTCTCTCATGAATAAATAAATAAAATCTTAAAACAACAACAACAAATGAGAGCTAATTTCCCACCTACAACTAGATATTGGATATACAGTAATGCACAAAACACACACAAGTCTTGCCTTTCAAAAACTTAAAGTCTGTTAGGGAAGACTGCCCTTAAATAATTAACTTCTCTTATAGTCTTAGTGATTCTCCGTTACTTTTAAGACTAAAGAACCTTCCCAACACAGAAATTCAGAAGCGTTTCTTCCTTTCTCCTCTAGATTGCTTTAATGGTTTCATTCATTAAATTAAATTTTTAAAATTTCCTTTGAATTTGTTCAAATGGATGATTTAAAAGAACACTGCAAATTGATTCTTTTATAAGCAACATACTAATTTATTGAGTCATCTGTCCCTGCCCTCAAGACTTTGATGCTTCTTTGACGTATGTTAAATTCCTGTACCTAACTGGGTCTATTCCTACGCTTTCAGTTCTTTTCAGCTCATTGTCTGGTTTTCTAACATTTCCTTAAATTCCTTTTCTTTTACTCTTTTATTTATAATTTATCTTGATTGTTATTATAAAGGCAATCTACCTTCTCTTTGAACTACCAATGAATAACAAAATTACTACACAAACATAATCTAAACTTGATGTGTTTTTCCTTTAGCTCAGGATTTTCATTGCCTTACTGCCATCACTTTGAATTTCTGTTTTTTAAACAGAGATGGGAAACTATTAGATATAGATAATGCTGATAAATAAAGTGCAAAGTAATAGAACATTTACTGGGTTTCTATTTGAGAAACATGTCCGTTAAGTAGGTATAAGATCTCAAAGACAAGGGATCAAAGAATAATTAATGTAGAATTTCTGTAGTTTCAGATAGTACTTCTCAGTTTTTGATGGCTGAAAATCTAGTGAGAGCTTCAGTGCCTGAGGATGAAATTCTTACTGTCATGAATAGCAAGCAGCTACAGAAACCAAATCTAGCTTTAAATAAGACCCAGTCATTCAACATCTGTGCACTCTCAGCCGAAGAACAGAAGATCCTACAGTCCCTCAGTCGTCTCAATGAGAGGTTATACTGTAAGTATGGAAGAACACCTTTTACAAGAAATGTTATATTTTGTAGTTAGACAATTTTAATTTAAAATTTAATTTAATTTAGAGATGCCTGGGTGGCTCAGTGGTTGAGCATCTCCTTTCGGCTCGGGACATGATCCAGGGGTCCTAGGATCGAGTTCCATATCAGGTTCCCCACAGGAAGCCTGCTTCTCCCTCTGCCTGTGTCTCTGCCTCTCTCTCTGTCTCTCATGAGTAAATAAATAAAATCTTTTTAAAAATGTTTTAAAAAATGTTTAAACATTTTTAAAAAGATTTTAATTTACAAATTGGAAATAATGTATCCAGATTATTAGCTATTTAAATCAAGTATGTGACAATTAAAAATATACTTGAGTAGGGGTGCCTGAGTGGCTCAGTTGGTTACATAACACTCTTGATTTCAGCTCAGGTTGTGATCTCAGGGTCGTGAGACTGAGCCCCTCATCAGGCTCCTCACTCATTGGGGAGTCTGCTTGAGGATTCTCTCTTGCCCTCTCCCCTTCCCCCCACTCACACACACATTCTCTCTCCCTCTCTCTAAAATAAATAAATAAATAAATAAATAAATAAATAAATAAATAAATAAATAAATAAATAAATTTTTATATCCATATTATATATATTTGCATATACCTTACTATTTCACATATACCATATTTATGTCATTTATGATGATGTCAGTTTCTTTGACAGGCTTATCTATCTTTTAGGGATGTATAAATACACTTCCATCTCAGCAATGCGACAGGCTAGGTAGCTTTACTGACCATCCATCGAAAACAACCATAAATTCTGAATTAAGTACTTTTAAAAATCTTAAATATAACAGGGACACCTGGGTGGCTCAGCAGTGGGGCATCTGCTTTCGGCTCAGGGCATGATCCTAGGATCTGGGATTGGGTCCTGCCTCAGGCTCCCTGCAGGAAGCCGGCTTCTCCCTCTGCCTGTGTCTCTGCCTCTCTCTGTCTATCATGAATAAATAAATACAATCTTTAAAAAATGAAAAACTTAAATATAACAATTAGCTGGTAAGAATATAAGGAATTCTTTTGGGTGGGGGGCGAGTGGAGAGGGAGAATCTTAAGCCAACTCCACACTCAGCACAGAGCCCAACGTGGGGCTTGATCTCACAACCCTGAGAATGACTTGAGCAGAAATCAAGAGTCAGACACTTAACTGACTGAGCCACCCAGGTGCCCTGAATATAAGGAATTCTAAGACCAGGAACTGAATACAGATAGAAACCCAGAAAGTTAAGGAAAATGCTGTAGCTAGCTGTTGTCTTGTGGATATTTATTTAACCCACACAGTGAAACTGAGCTTTGCTTTTCATGGCTTCACAGATAAAGAAACAGGATATAAAGCCCTGATGGGTAGTCTCCAGAAGATCCTCACCCCATAACGTTGCACCTCCCAAGGAGCTACACCATACAGTTATATACCCAGGGACCAAGAGGGCTGGGAAAAGCTTCCATATCTGAGTTTCGGGATTGAGCAGATGACAGAGAAAGATGTGCAAGCTTTTCCACCGCCCTCTGTCTCGTGTGTATCTGTGTAGGATGTGGCACATTTTCTTTCCTTTTTTTTTAAAAGATTTTATTTATTTATTTATTTATTTATTTATTTATTTATTTATTTATTTATTTATTTATTTATTAATAAGAGACCCAGAGAGAGAGAGAAAGGCGCAGAGACACACACAGGCAGAGGGAGAAGGAGGCTCCATGCAAGGAGCCCGACGTGGGACCTGATCCCAGGACTCCAGGATCATGCCCTGGGCCGAAGGCAGGTGCTAAACCACTGAGCCACCCAGGATCCCCTGTGGCACATTTTCTATGAGATTTTGTTAATAGCAAATCCTTACCAAAGGCAATTCTAAAGAATGCATTTCAGCAGACCAGAAGTAATCTCAGTCTGAGAGGGTAAATTTGAGCAAATGTTATGTAAAATAAACATAATAAAGTCATGTCTGTTTCAGAAAGAAAAACATTAGCCTATTAAAATACCTAAAATATTAAAAATAATGTATTCGTTGGGAGAACAAAAATGATACTAGGTTAGTAGGATTCTTCTTAAGGAATTTGGTACAGTTTAACCTTTTTCTATTTGAGTATGACTAACATACAGTGTTATATTAGTTTCAGGTGTTCAATATACTGGTTCCACCTTGTGCACATTACTCAGTACTCATCATCATAAATGCCCTCCTCCATCCCCATTGCTTGCTTCCCCGTTGCACTGCCTACCTGCCCTCAGGCCACCAGCAGCTTGTTTTCCATAGTTCAGTCTGTTTCTTGGTTTGTCTCTTTTTTTCTTTGCTTATTTGTTTTGTCTCTTAAATTTCACATATGAGTGAAATTTACAGTATTTGTCTTTCTCTGACTTATTTCACATAGCATGATACTCCCTTGGTCAGATTAACTTTAGATAGTGGTAGAGGAAGTATGCTTCTGATAGTTAACAAGGGTCACATGTAAAGGACTAGGAATAGAGTATACAATTTTCAAACTGGTTAAAGAGAAAAGTGGCATGCAAAAAAAAAAAAAGTCAAATTGATCCAATATAAGAACAGACGAGAGTGAAAAATAAACATAGAAGACATAGGATAAACAGAAATACTGTGCTATAAAATGGTATATACAAATGTTCTGACAATGAATGTATGTGGATTATATGCTACATTTAAAAGATATTTTAGGGGTGCCTGGGTGGGTCAGTCGGTGAAGCATCTGCCTTCAGCTCAGGTCATGATCTCAAGGTTCTGGGATAGAGTCCCACGTGGGGCTCAGCTGGGAGTCTACTTCTCTCACTCTGCTGTTCCCGTTGTGCTCTCTCTTTCACACACTCTCTCTCTCAAATAATCAAAATCTTTAAATAAATATCTTTTTAAAATTTATATTTTATAACATATTTTGTTTATAAACACTATATTTAAAACATAAGGATATAGAATAGCTGAAAATAAAAAAGATGGAAAATACCAAGCAAATTCTAACCAAAGGAAAATTAGTTTCAATGTATTATTATCAAACAAAATTGACGATAAAGCAGAAAGCATGCATTAGTAGACATAAAGAGGATCATGATGATCAAAGCTTTAATTCAGGAGAAATATATAAAACATTTTCATTTTATATGCATTTAAAAACATGCCTCAAAATATCTAAAATATGTTTTAGCCATGGTGGGAGATTTCTTTTTTTACATTGCTAGGAATTGATAGAAAAAACAGACTAGATAGTTTGAACACCAATAAAAAATAAATTTATTAAAAAAAGAAAAAACTGACTAGATAGAAAAAAAGAAATAGATGTGTAAGAATCAAACATGATTAACAAACTTGATTAAAGGGACACATTCTTTACAAATATACATAGAATATGTATTAAAATGAGCCATATACTATACCATAAAACAAGCCTGAAACATTTCAAAGGATTGGAGTTTTGCACAGACTCTGACCACAATGCAATTTAGCTAAAAATGAATAACAAAAAGATAACCATTGACAAGTACAATTCTGGGCACCCAGGTGGCTCAGTCAGTTAAGCATCTGACTCTTGATTTTTGGCTCAGGTCATGATCTCAGTCTCAGGACCTTGAGATCATGACCTGAGCCCTGCATCTGGCTCCCCACTCAGCACAAAATCTGCTTGTCCCTCTCCCTCTGCTCTTCCCCCTGCTCAAGCTTTCTCTTTCTCTCCCCCTCTCTCTCTCTCATAAATGAAATCTTTAAAAAAGAGAGAGAAGCACATTTTTAAATAAACTGTGGTTCAAAATAAAATTATTTTCATACCATAATGAAAATTACAAAATATTTTGAAACAGGACAGGAGCATTAGCTCACCTGGGACAGAGTATGGGGGAAAGAAATGCCAGATTCCATAAAAGCTGATGTTAGGAATTCTGCTTAAATGTTTAACAAAGTGCTAAAGGGTAAGTGTGAATTACTATGAGAATGTAAAACCCCTGGGAGCTACAGAAGAGGAGTTCACACCCACTTACAGATTCTTCTCCATGAACCTACATGTTCTTCATGAGAGAAGTAGAGAGCAGGGGCACATGGGTGGCTCAGTGGTTGAGCATCTACCTTTGGTCAGGGCATGATCCCGGGGTCCTGAGATTGAGTGCCACGTCAGGTTCCCTGCAGGGAGCCTGCTTCTCCTTCTGTGTCTGTGTCTCTGTCTGTGTCTGTGTCTCTCATGAATAAATAAATAAATAATTTAAACAATAGATGGGATCCCTGGGTGGCTCAGTGGTTTAGTGCCTGCCTTTGACCCAAGGCATGATCCTGGAGCCCCGGGATAGAGTCCTGCATCAGGCACCCTCCATGGAGCCTGCTTCTCCCTCTGCCTGTGTCTCTGCCTCTCTCTCTCTCTCTCTCTCTCTGTCTCCCATGAATAAATAAATAAAATCGTTTAAAAAGAGAGAGAGAGAGCAGAGCAGGAGATGGTGGAGGGCAGGGACAGGCAGTGTGTGAAATGGGGCCTCAAGGCAGCAGGTGCAGAGGAGGGAGCCATGCTGTGGGGAAGGCGTGAGGCCCAGCACAGTACCTTCTCTCCTACAGAACAATGCAGCAAGCTTTGTGGGTTGCCCCCAGGCTCAAGTGAAGACTGATGGGAGTATGGGGAAGGGGAAAGAAAAAAGCTTATACTAGGGTTTGGCAGGGGACAGGATGAGCCCAGATCCCCATAAGCCTCCCAATGTTTATTGGAGGACAGGCACAAAAGTCTCTTGCATAAAACATGTTGGAGACAGAAGGCAGAGTTGACAACTATGAAAACAGACAACTTCACTGCTCCTTGCTGTGAGGCCAACAAAACCAAGTGAGCAACAGGAATCTGCTGCTGGGGAGGGCAGGCGCCTACAGAGAGTGTGCTGCTAGTGTGCAGACATCTGGGAAGGCCCAAGGCTGACATGGAGCAGGAAGACCGACAAGAAAAACTTCTGTGAGCCCTGCAGGAGCACAAAATACCAGCAGAGGAACGGGGAACCAGTGAGGAACTAAAGGGAACCACAGCAGCCACAAAGCCCCAACCCAGGGCTGCCCAGCCACACCATCAATGGAGGAGGGCCTCTTGATCTCAGGTTGTTGGTTCAGCCACCATACTGGGCACGGAGCCTACTTTGATCCTGTTGATGAGCCACATTCACTCCAGCTGCCTAGCAGAGGAGGCACAGCCATGTCAAGGCATGAGTACATTATGCCTTAGTAACCACTTCTAAACATAAAGTTTAGCAGTCAGTCAAATATGAAGAGACACAAAAAAAAAAAAAAAAAAAAAAAAGCAAGGAAAATATTGGCAAGGGACAAAGCAATCCGCAGATGGAGACACAGAGATGACTCAGACACTGGAAGTCTCAGGTGGGTAATTTTAAATGACTGTGACTAACATGCTAAAGAAAGAAAAGAGATGTGCATGAACACACGGGGAATCTGGAAAAAAAAGATATGGAAACAGAGTCAGATGGACACATGAGAGAGAAAAATGAAAAATATCACCTCACCAGTAGACTCAACACAGCTGAGGAAAGAATGAATTTGAAGATAGGTGATAGGGAATTTCCAGCTGAAATCCCAGGATGGAAATGAAAAAGATGGTCAGGGAGGGGACAGAGCAGAGGACTGAGACCATTGGGATAGTCTGCAGTCCATCAAATCCCCATGTGCAAAGCTGTAGCCACTTTGTGCTGGGAGGAGAAGGTGTCCATGTCACAGGGAGCCAGAGTCAACACAGCACCCCTCACGTGGGCTGAATGCCTGCTTGGGGTCCCAGATAGCACACTGACAAATGGCTAGGAGAACTTCTGGGGTCATTTTCAGACAAATTGTCTGTCACTCCATATTGGAAAAATTGGATACCCAGCAGAGGTTAAATTGAACTGCTATCAAATATACATAAAACTTAGTACCAAATTACTGTGATTAAAGATTAAATATGAAGTAAAATATATAAAGCTTCTAGGAGATAATATTTAAAATTTTTTTCTAACCTCAGGTTAAGGAAGTATTTCTTAGAGTGCAAGGAACATAATCCATAGAGGAGAAAATAAATTATATTAAAATTATAAACTTTTCTTCATATCAGAATATCATTGGAGCACCTGGGTGGCTCAGCCCCTGAAGCAATAGATTCTTGGTTTGGGCATGAGATGGAGCCCCACCTGGCTCTCTGCTGGGCAGGAGTCTGCTCCAGCTTCTCTCTCTCTGCCTCTGCCCTCTCCCCCACACACACGCCTGTTCTCTCTCTCTTCTTGCTCACTCTCTAATAAATCTTTTTTAAAAAATCATTAAAAGAATGAATAGACAGGCCACAAAGTGAGAGAATATATTTAGAATACATAGAAGAAGGACTCTTATTCAAAATATGTAAAGAACTATAAATCAATAAGAAAATGAGACAAGAGAACCAAGAGAGGAAGACAGGAGCTTCTCTATGAGAGAAATGTGTGCGATGACCACCAGGCAGGTGTCCCGCACCCTGGTCCAGTGAGGCCCAGTGACATGCTCCAGGGTGTGAGCAGGTGCAGTCTCAGGAGGACACAAGCATACCCTCCATACCCTTTGGGCCAGCGATCTGCCCCTAGCCCACCCAGGTGCATCAAGAGGATGCAGGGGGTAGCACCACCCAGGCACACACACGTCACCATAGAGGAACCGCATGCAGCAAATCCCAGGAGGGTAAAAGCAGGGCAAGTCCGTTCCTCTGGGGCAGGGATACACCTGCTGCGGAGTTAGGGGGTGTCCCCATGGTGGGGGTGGGGCTGCAAGGCCCAGGGTGGCATGTCTGCACACTGCAGGCTGGAGAGGAAGAGCAGGTCGAGACTGAAAACCTCAGTCACCTGTTGTAGACACTCCACGTACTTAGCACTTCCCTGAAAGCATTCTGCTTGAAGCTGTGTTCTCTTTTCTTTGGGGACCCCTGGTATGGACAAGTCTAGGCCCTGAAAAGGCAACAGAGGTGACCGATCACTCAACTCCTGTGCCTTCCCAACTAAACAGACATCTCCTTCCTGCAATGCTCCAAGAATGAAATCTCCTTTTGGTTTAAAAAAAGAAGAAAGACAAATGGAAAAGAAAACCCAGTATTTATTTTTTTTTAATTTTTATTTATTATTATTTATGATAGTCACAGAGAGAGAAAGAGAGAGAGGCAGAGACACAGGCAGAGGGAGAAGCAGGCTCCATGCACCGGGAGCCCGACGTGGGATTCGATCCCGGGTCTCCAGGATCGCGCCCTGGGCCAAAGGCAGGCGCCAAACCGCTGCTCCACCCAGGGATCCCGAAAACCCAGTATTTAAATAAAGATTCTAGTCGAATGGTCAAAGTATTAGGAATTCCTTTTTATCAACTTTAGTTTTATGTCATTGTTTTTAAGCAAACTACTTCTATTTCCTACCTAATATAAGTGTAAACACGGTTTCTGGCACAATAGGAAAAAACTCTTAACTCTGTTTTGAGTATTTTAACATACCAGAATTTAATATCTGATTCTTTAGTTGTTCTTCTCTGTCAATATAGATCACTAAGTTATTTTTGTATCATGGCATAATTCTTTCAGATGTACAAGAAGCCATTTGCAAAAATCCATCCATCAAAAATACCTTACAAATAATACCACTTCTGGTAAGTATTTTAAGAAGCTTTTTTTTTCCCATTTTAGGAAATATCATGATTTCATGTGTAAGAATCCTGTATTGAAAAAAAAAAAGAATCCTGTATTGAAATTAATTTTTCTTGAGTTTAGCTTTTAGGGAGGTTTCCTCCCCAATTAACTTTCAACTATATTTTTTTAACTTTCAATTGTAATATGTTTTGGTAGAATCAGCTAATATCCTCTCATTGAAAAGAGATCAAAATATAAAGATATAAAGTTTTTTTATATACAGAATATTTCATTATTCATTGGAATGGAAACAGGTATCAGTGTACTCCTCTAGGATAACTGTGCATGTGTAGCCTAATTAGGAAATTGTTAAGAATTTTACGTCCCCCCCCCCCACTTTCATGTCTTCAAAGTTCAAAACTAGACATTGTTATTTGGATTTTTTCTTTTATCTTTACCGTGACAGTTGAATTCTGGTAAAGATCCACATACCAATGGCAGTGTATTACATTAAGGATTTCCCTCTAGCAAGCAAAAGGAACACATGGGGAGTATGTACCAGTCACCGGAATGTGGCTCACAGCCATGTGGGCAGCACAGCCTTAGGAACTCAGGACATCCTAAGTGGCTGGAGGCCCTCAGACAGGTGTGTTGGAAAGGGCGGCTCAAACAAAGACGCTGCCTCTCCTCCCACTGCCCTCCACTGAGTTGTTCAACAAGGAGATGTTTTGTTAGAAAAGTAATTGGATGTTTGCTCAGTTGTTTGTCATCATACACCCTCAGGTCTGAAATCTTGACAAGAAAAAGATCACATGACTATACTTAATTTCTTTTACATAAACAAAGGCATACATTTCTTACCCATGTTTTTTTAAGTTTTGGCTGTCCTGGGTATGTAGTAAGGAAGAAGAAGAAAGAGGCTGCCCCTGCCCTCCTGAAGATTTTTACTTCCCTCCAGGCTAATGGTTCTCAGAAATGGCCTTTTTACATGGCATTTATGATGCTGAGACTGTTAGACACAACTCTCATGGCAACTGTCATGTTGACTCCTGCTGTTCACATACTACTAGTTTGGTTTTTTTCTGTTTTTCATCCCCACCAATTCATCAATTTCAGTAATTTTTGCAGTGATAATTTGTGTCTGAATTTGTGAGAGTTTTCTGTTCTTTATAACATATACAGTTCCCATCTTACTCTAGTGAGATCATAGCCATGGTAACGGAGGTCACTCTTTGGTACACTTCAGCTCAACCTGAAAACAGTGTACTGACCCCAGACAACAGGCTGAGCATGAGCTGTAAACACCGCCCAATAAGGAGAGAATCGCTCTGTGCCCATTGGAGCTCCGTGTGGTTAGAGGGCTCAAGTATCTGCCTCATAGCTGAACAGTTGCAAATGTGAAGGACCACCAAGAGGCTTAGAATCCTCTCTTAGATCTTTCCCGCTCATTATGGCAGTTGGTAACCATGAGTTAGTCCCTTTATCTCCATACATGTTATCCTTCCTTACTTTGTCATCACTGACCTAGGTCAGAAACCATTTATTTTCAGGGGAAATGGTATAAAATCATAGAATTTTTAGCTGCCTAATTAAACAGCTGATGTTAAAAGTACCCCCATCTCCCTCCCCAATCCAAATTGCTTCATTTGCCATATTCTGCATGGGGATTTGAGCATTTTAGCCTTGCTTGCCCTTTTTCTACTATGTTTATCTTTTTTACACTTCAGTTGGTTTCACTGATTGTTGACATTTTGTCATGCTTGCTTTATCCAATAGATGGAAGGATGGATGGAAGAATAGAATAAATAGAAGAGGAAAGGAGGGGATAGAGATTCATACATATATACACACACACAAATGTACATTTTAATGAACTGTTTAAAAGTCAATTTTAGACAAGATGATACCTTCCCACTAAATACTGAAGCATACATGTTCTAAGAACAGACATTCTCCTGCATAACCACAACACCATCATCACACCCAAGAAATCTAACATTGATATAATACTGCCTGATACATACTCCATTTCAGAATTCTCCAGTTCAAAAACAAAATGTCGTTTGTGGCTATTTTATTTCTCTGATGCAGGATGTAGGATGCAGCGCAGGATTGTGCATTGTATATGGTCCTCTTGTCTCTTAACCTAGAAGAGTCTCTTCTTTCCCAGTCTTTCATGCACAATGACACTTTTGAAGAGTCCAGGCCAGTTGTGTTGTTGACAGTCTCATGATTTGAAGTTTTCTGATTGTTTTCTCACAGGTTAACATTTATGACAGATGCAAAGTTTGTGTTCTTATAGTATGTTTGTTTTCATTTATTCACCTACTTGATTCTACCTGAATCTTGCTTTCATGTTTTCTACTTAGCTGCTTATAATTTGAGTTCAGAAGACTGTTGTCCAAGCTTTTAGAGTTGTGTTTAAAGCAAGATTAAATACGTGCTTTGTACCTCCCCCAGGAATAAAGTGCATGGGCTTTAGATACATTTTGGTTTGTGTCTTTATCATAAGTGTAGTCTTTAGTTCCCATCACCTGGCCTTTTGAAAGCTTTTAAAATTTGTTCCTGTATCTCCATCAAAATTTCAAACAAGTAAAATTATTTAATGTGTAAGCTCTAGAAAGGCAATATGTAATCATATTCCTATACTTTCTGTATATGACACAAGAGGCCACCAAAGCTTACCTCAGTTTTCCCAGGACAACTATGGTATAGTCTAGTTCTCATCAATGGAGATCTTTCTTTTTTTAAAATTTTTATTTATTTATGATAGTCACAGAGAGAGAGAGAGAGAGGCAGAGACACAGGCAGAGGGAGAAGCAGGCTCCATGCACCGGGAGCCCGACGTGGGATTCGATCCCGGGTCTCCAGGATCGCTCCCTGGGCCAAAGGCAGGCGCCAAACCGCTGCGCCACCCAGGGAGCCCAATGGAGATCTTTCTAAAAAAGATCTCCATCTCTCCATATAAGGGCAGAAATATCTTTTTTTTATAAATTTATTTTTTATTGTTGTTCAATTTGCCAACATATAGAATAACACCCAGTGCTCATCCCGTCAAGTGTAATGGCAGAAATATCTATTCAAGGAGGAGGGGCAAGATGGTGGAAGAGTAGGGTCCCCAAATCACCTGTCCCCACCAAATTACCTAGATAACCTTCAAATCATCCTGAAAATCTACAAATTCGGCCTGAGATTTAAAGAGAGAACGGATGGAATGCTGCAGTGAGAAGAGTTCGCGCTTCTATCAAGGTAGGAAGACGGGGAAAAAGAAATAAACAAAAGGCCTCCGAGGGGGAGGGGCCCCGCGAGGAGCCGGGCTGAGGCCGGGGTGAGTGTCCCCAGGACAGGAGAGCCCCGTCCCGGAGAAGCAGGAGCTGCACCAACCTTCCCCGGCGGAAAGGGGCTCGCAGGGAGTTAGAGCAGGACCCAGGAGGGCGGGGATGCCCCTGGGCTCCCTGGGACACTAACAGACACCTGCGCCCCGGGGAGAGTGCGCCATACCCCGCGGCCGAGCTCCCTAAAAGACTGCAGCTCTCCACAGAGACCTTGCAGGCCAGAAAGGGCTGGCAGGATATATTCAGGGTCCTAAATGAGAAGAACATGCAACCAAGAATACTTTATCCACCAAGGCTCTCATTCAAAATGGAAGGAGAGATAAAGAGCTTCCAAGACAGGCAGGAACTGAAAGAATATGTGACCTCCAAACCAGCTCTGCAAGAAATTTTAAGGGGGACTCTTAAAATTCCCCTTTAAGAAGAAGTTCAGTGGAACAATCCACAAAAACAAGGACTGAATAGATATCATGATGACACTAAACTCATATCTGTCAATAGTAACTCTGAACATGAACGGGCTTAATGACCCCATGAAAAGGCGCAGGGTTTCAGACTGGATAAAAAAGCAGGACCCATCTATTTGCTGTCTACAAGAGACTCATTTTAGACAGAAGGACACCTACAACCTCAAAATAAAAGGTTGGAGAACCATTTACCATTCAAATGGTCCTCAAAAGAAAGCAGGGGTAGCCATCCTTATATCAGATAAACTAAAATTTACCCCGAAGACTGTAGTGAGAGATGAAGAGGGACACTATATCATACTTAAAGGATCTATCCAACAAGAGGACATAACAATCCTCAATATATATGCCCCGAATGTGGGAGCTGCCAAATATTTAAACCAATTAATAACCAAAGTGAAGAAATACTTAGATAATAATACACCTATACTTGGTGACTTCAATCTAGCCCTTTCTACCCTTGATAGGTCTTCTAAGCACAACATCTCCAAAGAAACAAGAGCTTTAAATGATACACTGGACCAGATGTATTTCACAGATATCTACAGAACTTTACATCCAAACGCAACTGAATACACATTCTTCTCAAGTGCACATGGAACTTTCTCCAGAATAGACCACATACTGGGTCACAAATCGGGTCTGAACCGATACCAAAAGATTGGGATCGTCCCCTGCATATTCTCAGACCATAATGCCTTGAAATTAGAACTAAATCACAACAAGAAGTTTGGAAGGACCTCAAACACGTGGAGGTTAAGGACCATCCTGCTAAAAGAGGAAAGGGTCAACCAGGAAATTAAGGAAGAATTAAAAAGCTTCATGGAAACTAAAGAGAATGAAGATACAACCATTCAAAATCTTTGGGACACAGCAAAAGCAGTCCTAAGGGGGAAATACATCACAATACAAGCATCCATTCAAAAACTGGAAAGAACTCAAATACAAAAGCTAACCTTACACATAAAGGAGCTAGAGAAAAAACAGTAGATAGATCCTACACCCAGCAGAAGAAGAGAGTTAATTAAGATTCGAGCAGAACTCAATGAAATCGAGACCAGAAGAACTCTGGAACAGATCAACAAAACAGGAGTTGGTTCTTTGAAAGAATTAATAAAATAGATAAACCATTAGCCAGCCTTATTAAAAAGAAGACAGAAGACTCAAATTAATAAAATCATGAATGAGAAAGGAGAGATCACTACCAACACCAAGGAAATA